TGCATAATGTATACTCCATAACACACGTTCCACATAGAATCCACGCATAAAATACGCACATTTATATATTCAGTTATACAATATAATATATCTAAATTTTTGTACTATTTAAAAGTTATGTAAATTCTATAAATAAAAAATTTTGTTGTGGCAATTCCCACGTTTTCCACATCTGTTGCTCTTACATTCCACTTTTCACGTCTGCCCCACACTTGAAAAGCTTCGCACACTTTTCTTGGCTCTCGCAATAGATATAACAAACGCACCCGCATTCACTGCATATGATCCACATGCCATTAATCAGGCAAGGGGCGGCCCAAACAAAAGTATAACTCATCAACGCACAAATTACAAAGACAAACGATGACTGACAATATGGCTAGAGTGAGCCAAGAGCGAAAAAGCTGCGACATCAACAACACCAGCACCAGCACCAGCCACCAGCAGCATCAGCGGCAGCATCACCAGCACCACTTACTACCCACAATCCACATACACTATACAGTGGGGCAGAGTGTTTGTTAATTAAACAAATGCCGCAGTGACATGTGCACATCAGGATGATGACTGGCGTTTGGCGTATGTTGAGCGCAGCGTAGCGCAGTTTGCGGTTATCCCACTGCAGGGCCAAAATTGTCAACAGCCACGGGGGATGAGAGGGGCGCTTGATAAAAGCGCGCACTCATACAGACATACATACATAGCTGCATAGCTGGCGTCGGCGCCGTTCAGTGAAAATGGCTCCGCATGCAATTTAATTTATTTCAATTGCAGCTGAAATTATTACGACAGCCGGCAAGAGGAGAGAGAGAGAGAGAGTGAGAGAGAGTGAGAGGGGGCTCGACAAGATGACGTTGGAGAGCAATTTGCTCATATTTCGTATTTCGTATTTCGTATTTTGGTATTTTGTATTTCTTTGTTTGCTTTTGGTTCTGCCTTTGCCCCACTACAAATTGTTCATAAACAAATTCAGGCGCGAAGAAAGCAAAAGCAGTAAGCGTCAATTTCAATTAAACAGACAACATCATCATGAGCACGATCATGATGACGCTGATGACAGGGAGGTTGCTGATGATGATAACGATGGTGCACCCTGGAGGCCTTTAGCCGCGTCGTATGTGCCTTGCCACACAGCAGCAGCAGCAGCAGCAGCAGCCACCAAGGGAGGCTTAACTCCGCACTGGTTGCCCACTCATGGCATAGTTAACACTGGCTTCATATCAGCATCTCCCCGTCCAACTCTTGAGGCGGAAAATCATCAGCGGAAAATGGTGCGAAATTCGCACTGTTCACTGTTCATTCGCTAGCAGCTCACTTGGGAGCAGGGCAACTAATAAAGCGCACCTGATTAACACGGATCGAGCCTTTAAATACTCGTAAGATTAATGTCATTAATGATTTTGGTATCGACACTTGAAGGAATATGCAAAATATTTGTATATCCACCTGGCATGGAAATGGTAGACGCCTAGAGAAAGATCTAAGCTAATCATGAAACACTTCTTAATGGAATCAGTACAATTTTATCTTAATTTTCATTGATTTCTTGACCACTGTGCATGTTGGAAAATTAACTGAAAATAAGTTTAACCACTGTGTTATATTTAAATTAGCCTGCATTATTTACTCTTACTTGATTGCTTTGTATAGATTGAGAAAAATAAATTTTCTCATAATCCTTTTATTTCTTGCTACTTTTAAACCACTGTGCGCTGTAGCTCAGAACTAATAATTGCCCATATAATAAAGATTATGCTGAATAAACTATAAGTAAATATTGCCTTTTGGCCTTTTGGCTTAATCTACATTTTTCTTCAATTTTTAACCACTGTGCAAATCATTGGGAAGCTCAGGTTTGTGCTATATTTTATACATACATACATACATATATAATACATTCAGTGTAAACAAAAAATATATTTAAAATATTTGTAGCATTATTATTTCCAACACTTTTTAGCCACTGTGCAATAAATAAATGCAGCTCAGCGTTATGTTTCTTTTCATACATACACACTTAATAAATCACTGTGCGCTGCCTTAAGTAGCTTAGAATTGAGATGCAACGATAGACGTTGCACTGCGTCATTCCTAGACTAACCTAAGAGTCTACTCTCAGTTAAGAGTCTAATCTTCCCTTTGAGTCTTTTTCTCATTTACTCTTTAACCACTGTGCACTTACTTAGCCAGCCCAGAGCAATAATACTTTCGATATAGCGCCACCTAATTAGCCAAATGCTAACTACAATTCCAGCACTTCGAGTCGCATTTCGTTTGCAGTGCTTTGTCTCCCTCTCTCTCTCTCACTCTCTCTGTCTCTGTCTCTCTCTGTTGACTCTGCCACGCCACATACATACATACATATTTATTTAATGTGGCTATAACAAAGTGCACTTGGCCCAAACGGTTGCTGACTTCTGCAATGCCATTCGCCATGGGTGGCAAACAGATTCAGTTGCATTTTAAGCGTTTAAGCATTGTGTTGCATGTTGCATTTTATTGTTGTTGTTGCTGCTGTTGTTGTTGTTGCTGTTGTTGTTTGTTTGTTTGGTTGCACAGCGGCGCAGAGTTTCAAGTGTAAATTAATTTATGAGGCACGCGGCGCCGCGCTGTGCGGCTTGGGTCAGCGAATTGCGAATGGCCATAACACCCATGGAACACGCCCCCCTTCCGCTGCTGCCGCCTTTTTGGCTGACCATTTGAAATGTCAACCAAAGTGTGAAATTTCATATTGAATGATGACGTTGCCGTCGTCACTGACAAATGGAGCTGACCGTTGCATAATTGAGCAGCAGCAGCAGCAGCAGCAGTGGAGTGACAGAGACCAAAGTATGCACAACCAGCTAGATACTCTATAATAAAATATTTATCTCACTTACCTATTAGAGAGCCGAGGACGTAGAACGCCACGTAGAGCAAATGCAAGCAGGCCAACATTTTGTTGATTTTGTTAATTCTTTCTGAAAATGTAAAGGGGAATGAAATATGAATAAATGTGAGTGGAAAGTAGGGCGAAGTTTCCATAGATTATATATCAGAAAATGCATAAATATGTTTATTATATTTTTATATATTTTTAAAACTTGTTTATTATATCATTAAAAATTTAAAATCATATTGCTAATATTAAAATATATTTTATATATTTTATTTTTAAGAATATATTTACAATATTGATGTAGATTCAAAATATATTTATTATGGTATTAATAGGTGAGCACATAGGCTTTAAGTAATATGAGCTCAAAATAGGAGACTTATGATTGGATAGACTTTCATCTGATATTATATGTATATATATTTTTGGCATGCATGCTAAAGGCGTGGCACATGGCTGAAAGGCATGCCTAGATTTAGAGCTACACTCATCAAGCTGAATCGAGCTGGAGTCAAACCACTAGCAATTCAGATTAAGGTAGAACTTCAAGTAAGCCCAGCTTATAGCAGCAATTCAATCAACCTGAACGAGCATCAAGCGGTCGCCTATAGCCCATTGAAACCTTTCCACTTGTTTTTGCTTTGTCTTTATTGACCAAAGCATACACTTGTTCTATCATTATAATTGTTTTCCCTTTATTACTGTAATTTTTTTTTTCGTCTTCTTCTTCATGTCTTTGTCAGCCACGCCTCCTCGACGATATGGTCTAGACGAGCAGACACCCATATGCAATTTGTCGCTTGTTTGGCACGTCATAATAGAGACATTATGAACCCAACGATTTCCTCGTCGAGTTTTTCGGCTTGGCCCGCTCCTTTTCCGGCTATGCCGAAAGCAAGTGTCAGGCGGAAGCGCCACCTGTGCCGCGCAGCCAATGTCATCATTCAAATGTCAGTCGCTCTTACAAATTGTTGTTTGACATGGCATGCCGCTAATCAAAATACACACAAATGGAGATAGAAACAAAGCGCCACATATGTCAATCAACACCAGAGAATGGGAAAGAGGCAGAGAGAGCGAGAGAGAGAGACAGAGGACAGACAGAGCAGAAGCGAGACACTCACACACCCATTCTCGTGTGCAATTAAGCGCTGCAAATAGCTCAGAGCCACGCCCACACACTATTGACCAAAAAATGTTCATTAGTCTGTCCATTGTCCAGCATCAGAATCAGAATGAGAATCAAAGTCGAAATCGGAATTGTAATTGAAATCGGCCTCAAATTCAGCCTCAAGCTCCTCAGACCGTGGTTCCATCACCTACCATCGACCGTTTCCCATTTCCCATCTCTCAAAGACCATCTCCCTGCTTCAATAGCCTTTCATTTTGTAAATCTCTCGATGATTGTCATCGTAGGTGTGACTAATTGTTGGTCATTTATCTTCTTTGGCTACGCTTTGCATTCAGTCTGCCACTGTCGATGCCTGTGCCTTCAGCTTGCCTTTGTTATCATGGTCAGTCATGAATAATTTCCGTTACCTCCCCCCAGCCCCGTTTTCATTGTGTGTCTATCCCCCAACGGAGAGGTCTTTGCACTGTTTGTCTAAATGAGATACATTGGCCTTACGCCACTAATTGATGGCCCGAATTGTGGGCTCTACTGGGCAAAACAAAACCGGATGACACATATCTATTATGGGCTCTGTGCAAAGGTAATTTCCCATAATTCCAAAACAGATCAAGTTGATCGAAGCAAAAAAAAAATTAATTGATCGATTTATGGAAAGCGTTGTGTAGAGTTCTATAACTAGTATGACTAACAGCAGTACGAAATTATAGAAGTCAAAATGTTTCCAGTTCTGGTTTGTAGTAATTGCGTTGGCAATATGATACTATCGATAAGAAATATGTTTTATATAATTTGTATCTCAATAAAACTGTAATAATTCGCCTTGGAATACTACTACTTTTTCTACTCCTATTTCTACTACTGTTTCTACAGCAGTGTTTAGTACGGTGACTATTACTAATGCTGCTCCTGTTTCTATTACAGTAACTACTACTTTTATTAACACTATTTCTACTCCTGTTTCTAATCCTATGACTAATACTGTGACTACAATTATTTCTACTCCCGTTTCTAGTGCTGTGACTACTACTCCGACTACCCATTGTTTCTAATACTGTGATTACAACTATTTCTACTACTATTTCTGCTACTATTTCTGCTCCTATTTCTACTACTATTTCTACTACTATTTCTGCTACTATTTCTACTACTATTTCTACTATCTCCACTCCTGTGACTACTGTATTATTGCTATACTTTATTGATTGCAGCTCAATGAACCAGGCATAACAAGGCAATAAAAATTATTAAATTATAAAAAATTGAGTTGGAATATTATTGCTTTTATGTTATATTTCTCTATTCCAATTCCTATTACATTTTCAATAGACAGCAAAAAAATTTAAAATAAAATTCTGTGTAGAAAAATAATGGTACTTTTTAGAATATTTAGAATATTTTTATATTTCCATGGCATTTTCTATTATGTTTCTTAATTATTATTTTTTTCTCAATTTCTGGATTTCCATTCAATTATGTTCCCAGCATATTTTCAATCATTTCACATATTTTATTAGACCAAAAATTCAAATATTTTAAAAGTCAAATGGATTTTTTTTTCTATTGGCTTTTGTTTTTCCTCTTCCTTTTCAGTTTTTTTTTCCTCGTTCGAAAAACTTTTCATCAGCACATTTTGCAGACATGTTCCTGATGGTGTGGCATGTGTGGCATGTTCTCTGCTTTGCAGTTTGATTGACAACGAACGCTTTTCATTTGGGACCGACAAATATTATACCAATAGAACCGAAAATGAATGCCAAAAATTGTTCGCATGCAATATTTGAGTCTAGATTGTGGGCTCTCGGCTCTCAGCTCTGGGCTAACTAGCCTTAAATGCCCCAATGACTTGCAATACATGTGTAACTGTCGGCGCCTAGCAATGTATCTGTCAGATACATTTGCAGATACAGCGAAACGCATGTATGACTGTCTGAGTGTGTGTGTGGGTGTGTGGGTGGGTGTTTGTAGCCAGCGTTAGCAACCCCTGACAAATGCTATGGCAACACCTCCAATGACTTTACTCTGAGGTGGTGTTTTCTTACTTTATTTCCATTTATGTATTTGTATACACATTGATAAAGTCAAGCGAGTATATTAGTTTGACTGACTAGCAATACGATAACAATAATATATAGATAGTTATACATTTGTTTACATTTATACATTTATAAATGCAGTTCAACGAGCATATTAGCCTGACCATATGATATTTAATATATATATACACTCGTGTATACCCTACTTTGATTAATTTTTAGTATTTTAGAACCAATCGACTATATCACATACAATTTGTATGTCAGCTGCTCTGTTTGCCTGCTCTACCGTTAGATCTATAAATTATTTTCAACTTTTCAGCTTGCACGAGCATTATGCAGTCGATTGCACTCAGCTGCTAATTCTTATTGGTCTTTTATATATTTTTTTTCATTTTTTTTTTTTTTTTGTCATTCTCTCTTTGTTTTGTAGGCCGACAGGTGCACACACACGGCGTTTTTTTTTCTCTTCTTATTTTTTTTTTCTGTTTCCTTCCAAACTAATTTCAAAGCAAATGCCATGTTGTTTCTGGTATGAGGGCACTCGCGTGTCTCGGCTGATTTGCATAATTTTACCGTTAAGTGGCGGAAAAATGTAATCGAATGAACAGATAGGCAGCAAGCGTGCTACATCGCCTAGACTAGGCTAGCCAGCTATTTTTACGAGCCCCCCAACTGCAATTAGAACGTAACACAACATTTTGGCAGTACTAAAAAAAAAAGGAACAGAAGAAAAGGAAAAGGAAAAGTCATTGGCTGTTTAACTTAAATTAAAGCAAATGAACCTCAAAACTACGCCGACACTTATATCATATAATTATACATATAAGAGAGGTCCTCTTCTACGTCAAAGGTAAACGAATGCAATAAGGGGATGTGGCAAAATTTAAACAAAATTTTTGCTAACTGTTAAGGCATATTTGTTCACTCAAGATCTTTAAGAGTTCGATTGAAGATCAAAATATATTAAGTTTATAAAAAAAATGTTATATAATAATCTTTTACTTTTTACTTTTCAACTTCAAGGAATTATTTTTCATATATTTTTGACTTTAATATGTAAGCTCGTTATTTAAATATATTTCAATTCTTTGAATTCTATTTAAAATGTCGTAACGCATACAATGCTCATGTGACACTTTATGGATTTATTTCGTATTTATTTCGAGTCTCTATTGTTCAAGCCCCAGTTGGACACCGGTCAGCAGCCCCACAAGTGGCACTTGCTAACCTTTTTTAGCCATTGACCCACCCGGCCATCCATGCATGCGTATGGGTGGGTGTTGACACTGTGAAACTGTGCTTATGTAACAATGTCAAGATACTTTTACATTTCGGTTCATTGGCTTTTGAGTACTTTGGTTTCTCGAATTCACAACGAAATACAAAACACCATGTACACATGTATGACTGACTGACTGACTGACTAACGTTACTAGGGCCAACCGAGGCCCAGGACTCAATTGAAAATTGTGAAGTTATCAATTACAGTTGCCCACCCACACTCGCTGCTGATTCGCTCCTGCGGCAAAACAAATGACGATTTTTCTCTCTTTCTTCTCTTTCTTTTCCTTCTTTTTTTGACCAAAGTCAAAAGTGTAGTGTGACATACATATATATATATATATATATATATATATATGTATGTCTTTGATTACAATTTCAATTAGTTTTAGAAACGTTTGCTCTGTAGTAACATGAGTTTCACTTTAATTCTATTCCGAATAAGAAATAAAGTATTTTTAAATGCGGTCTAGAGCTATGAATAAGTTTTCTGACTCATTAAGAGTTTGCATCAATAAATGTGATTAAATTCCCTCACTCTCGCTCTTTATTAAAATATAGTTATTGTACAAATCTTCCAGTCAGTTTCATTTGAGTTTTGCAAGATGAAGGTTTTGCTCGGCTTGGTCGTGC